AAGGAGTCTAATTCAGCAGGGCTGGTGAGGGTCTCTATTTGAAAATCTTCATAAGTGATTCTAAGGCAGTTCCTACAGTTTAGGGACTATACTTAAGATGACTGTCTTACTCCATTATCTTAACCATTAATAAAGACAGTACTTATGGCCAACATGAATTAATAAGATGTCAAAAAAAACATACTATGATTGTGCTATCACAGGGTCACATTTCTAAGAACCAGGGGGAAGATGGATAATTTTGCTTAGAAGTTCCAGGATACTTGCAAGGAGACTGGCTCTGTTTATAGAGTTACGATTTCTGCTTGTGTTCAGCCAATTTCCCAATCTGGGAAAGAGAAACTAAGGCATGAGGCGGATTCTGGGCAGCTGGAGGGTCACAGAGGACTGGGCTGGGCTTGTTAAGTCCCAGGGGAGTAAACAGCCTGAGCCAGGCCAGGAAATGGAGGAAGCTGGTTGGTGGGGAAGGCAGAGGAAGGAGTGGGAGTCCCAGTGTGCCTGGCTTCTGCTGATTTGCCCATTTCTACTCTGCTCACATGAGGGCAGACTGTGCTGAAGATCCCAAACTTCAATTCTCTGAGTTCCAGGCGCACAAAAGGAAAAAAGGAAAAAATATCTTTTTTTTTTCTCCAAGCTAGCTTGAATAAAGAAACCATTGCTCCTCTTTTAATACCAAAAAGGGGAAAACAGTGTGGTATGTGAAGACAGAAATTATTACCCAAACCAGGAATCTTTTTGCTAGTAATTATCCCAGGACAGCAGGTGTAAGTAAGCCAGGACTGCCACAGGAAAAGGAAAGTGAATCAGGAGATCCAATTTGCACGCCTAATTCTGTCCTTACTTCTCCCTATGGCCTTCGAGGAGTCATTTATCTAGTGCTGTATTAATATAAAGGAAATGGATTCTCAGCATCATCCATTTTAACACTGCGATAGTCCTAGTGTCTTGAGACTAGAGCAAAGAAAATAAAGGAATGAAATACAAAGCAGATTAAAGAATGCCAAAGTTTTAAAAAATCTTTTCCTAAGATTCTAAGTCCTCTTAATTCTGAAAAGAGGCAGCTTGGGAGATGAGGTAAGTATATAGAAAGGAACCCTTAGGATAACAGAGGATATCTTTACATAAACACCAGTGAACACATTTTACTGATTTGACTTTAAAAAAGAAGATGCCCACATATTCACCCATCAGTGTTATTTGGTTAAGCTAGCAGTGGCTATAGTTTATTTCCTAAGCATCAGTGCAAGGGCTCCCAGAGGAACCTACTTGCCTAGAGCCTCAGGGCCCAGCAAAGGAAAGCGCATTTCTTCTGTGCATCTCATCACTGAAGACTAATGCTCTAAGCCCTTCCTTGGCCTATGAATAGGAAATTTTCTGGTTCACTTGCCAATCCACCTCTCACTAGCCAGAGCCAACTTTGGCCAGCCCCATAGCCCCATTTCTGGGAGAAGTTAAAAGCTGTTAGCAAGCTGAAGGGCAAATTAGACTTCTGAGTTGCACAGTTGCTCCCAAACAGGTAACACACGAATGTGTCATACAGCTGGAAGGAATCTGATCTGCTCTAGAAGCTTCAGTTCTTTGACTAGGGACAGTTACAGATGTTAATATTTAGGCATTGTGCAAGTCACTGTGCCAAAGGCATTACAGTGATCACTTTATTTCATTCTTGCGACAAAACTAACATTGGTTTTTATTGCCCCAGTTTTCAAAGTGAGGACGCCGAGGTTTTGAGGGGCTTAATAATCTGCTACTGATTTGTTCAGTTTAATCTAAGTATTTGTTAGTGACACAAAAAGAAATTTAATCAAATTCTGCTCATTCTCGGGGCACTGTTAACTAAAATGATCAAAAGTGAGACAACAGACATGTACTATGAGCCCAACATGTACAAACACCAGGCTAGGTGCCAGGATGATTAGCTGGGTTACCAAACAAAATACAGCATGGAATCCTGCCCTTCTAGACTCTGCGGAAGGAAAAGAGATGGTCAGGTTCTGCAAAGCTGTCTTCAGGGAGCTCTTCTTAATGCTCCAAATATCCCCCAGGAAGTGGGTGTAGGTTGGCAAGGTGGAAGGTGGCACTCTCTCTAAGTGAGAAAACGAAGTAGAAACAATTACAGACCTTGCCCACTACTAGGCAGTCACTACTGAGGCCAGGAGTGGAACCAGATTATCTTGGTTCCTGTCATCATATTCAATGGCAAGATAAAAATCTCCTTCAATCACCTCTTGTCACTACAGGGCTCAAAGTCAATCACTACTCTATTGGAATAATTATAGACTAGCATTAATCCATTCAATCTATTCACTTGAATTTCATCCCTTATCTTTCCTCTCATTTTGATATTGACAAACCTGGGAATGGATAATCTTCAAAAAACAAAACAAAACTAAAAACCTAAGAACTGGGAGTTTCAGAGTGGACTTTTATGACAGCTATAGTAACATAAGTTGAATTATTCCATGATAATATTGCTGAAATAATGGTGGCAGTCATTACTGATTACCCATTCCATGAGTGATACTGGCTAAGTCCCCTTTACATAGATTATCTCATTCACTCTCAAAAATAGCACAAGGAGGAGCCAAAGGTTTGAGGATCCACTTTGCCCACAACAGCTAACATCCTTGCCTGGCCACATAATGAAACTGAGGCTTAAAGAAGTTCAGTACATATCCAAAGGCAAAAGATTGTACATTCCAAGGCTAGGATTTGAACATAGAGTGTCTGAAGTCAAATCTCATATCATTTTTGTTTATACAGCTTCTAATAATAATTTAAAAAGCTGTTGTCATTTACAAAGAACGAATTATAGCGCATGGAAATTATACTCATTTTCTCTAGTAATTCATACAACCTGTTTATTTACATGAATTGTTTTTATCTCCATTTACTGACTGGGAAATGAGAATCAAGAGTTCTAGATAGGCAATAAGCCCAAGTTCACCCAGCCAGTATGTGGTAGAACCAGGACTCATGCCCGGGAGGGTCTATCTGCAGACTTCTGTTGCTGCAGGTGATCCAGGAGAACAGAATGGTATCGTCAGGCCTCTGGTTACAAGAGTCTCACGTGTGTCCACTGAAACTGGCCCTGCCACTTACTCTCATGTACCTCAGTGTACAATGTTCCTTAACAGGGCTGGGCAATTCTGAAAATCCACTTATCCTATAAATTAGACAATTAAAATTCATTAACTACATCAGAGCTCATTCCTCATGGAAATAAAACACCCGTGGAAAAGTCAATCACAACTAGCAATGCAAACTTAGGGCTCAGGCAAGCTGCCTCACCAGAAGTGGAGAGCCACAGCTTTTGAGAGCTGGTAATATCTCAGGAACTGAAGACCACTCACCTTAAAGTGTTCTCCTGAAACAGCCTTTCAAAGATACAAAAGAGAAGTCAGGGACTGGCCATGATGGAATTGATACCTCTAAACATTCTGGCCATGGATATGCAGGAGACAGGTACAGAGAAGATTAGGTTTTTCCTTGAACATGGGTGCTCAGGAGAACAAGTTTATAAGAAGCTCAGACAGTGGGCTTCATCTATCCTTGGCAATATTAACTTTTTTTTTTTTTAAAGATTTATTTATTTGTGCATACAAGAACTGGGGTACAGGCCAGAGGCTCGGGGGCGGTGAGAGGCTTCACCAGAGACAGAGTGGGGAGCAGAATAGGCAGATCTACTAAGTGCACTGCCGAGGGGAGCAGCGGGTGGGTCAGGAGAGGTCTGCCACGCCATGTGGTCACCTCCGGGGCAGGTGGGAATCGAACTCATGCGGAAGCGGCTTTAGATTCTCAGTGCTGTGCTTTAACCCGCTGCGGCCACCAGGGAGGGCCGGCAATATGAACTTTTAAAAAATCAAATTATTCTGTGCCAAGGTACTTTTTTTAAAGTTGCTTTAATTGCTACATTTCAAATTATTGGTGACTTTCGGATACGTCTATTAAAGGAACACATCTGCTGCCATCTGGATCCACACAACTTTACTAACTGGGAGAGCAGTAGCCAAACAGGATGAGGCCCAGGCTTTTTTATCCAGCCAACAGCAAGTACCAAACAGTGGGACAAGTTAAACTTGTGATTATGGGTGCTAACCATAAAAGATATGTCAGTGATTTTTTTAAAGGAAAAGTGATCCCTGAAACTCTCTCTTGTTCCTCTTTCCATACGGATTGGTAAATGGGGGTGAAAGGCCAGAAGAAATGACCAATGATGTTAAACAAAGGCAGTCTGCTGAACCGACTATTCTTCAGCCCATTCAACCAGGGAAAGAGACAGACTCAGATCTTTGCCGGAAATAGCTCTTTGCCTGACTATGACTAAGTTGAGTAAGCTCTGCGAAGCAAAGCAACACACACACTTTTGGTACAAGATACCAAGGTGCTGAGGAGTCTGGTAAACACAGATGGATTGAAATGCCCCCAGCCCCTGCCCTGGCCAGGCAACCAACGACTAACTGCCTTGCCCATCCCAGGAGGCAACACCACGATAAACCACCCGCTTCTCTCCAGCCTCACACCACTTCAAAGGGAGACCCAGCAGCCAACAAACCTTCCTTGTCTGCGATGTTTTTCGTTTAGGTGTGTTTTTTTTTCCTCTTGACGTGGGAAGGAAATGAGTTTCGGGCCAAAAGAGATTGGGTGTAGGGAGGCGGTGGGGGCAGAAAGGTGCAAATGCCAGAATACAAGTGAAAGCCTTTTCTTTTAAATCTACACTAGTAGTCTTACTTATTAATAAAGGAGAGTCGTTTCCGTCCCTTTCCATCCTTCTAGAACCCTTACCAGCCCCAACAGGACAAGGAAGAAACGAGTTAGTCGAGTGCGCCCGGGAGCAGATCGTTCCTGCACAATGATCAACATAGGGAGGGTGGGCTGGAAATGCTCCCACTGCTTGCTATATGCGCGCAACACACACACACACACACACACACACACACACACACACAGGAGAGAGAACCAGCGAGAGCGCGCGCGATCGCGCGCCTGCCCCACCTCACCTTCTCTATGGCCTGGTCCACGGCCTTCTGGAACACTCGGGCCACCAGCAGGGTGACGCTAGTCACTAGCAGGAGCAGGGCCAGCGTCCCCACCGTGTAGTAGCAGCACCTGCCCATTCTGCCCGCCGCTCACCAGCCTGCAGGGCCGGCTGCAAAGCCCCAAGAACCGAGAGGGGCCGCCTGCGCGGACGCCGCGGCAGCCGCCGGGAACACCCGGGATCCCGCTGGGCGCCCAGTCCGTGGGGC